TTTCTTAACTTCACATATTGCATAAAAAAAACTAACCTTCAAGGCATCCTCTGCAACTATGACCCAGTTACCCAGGTGTATACATTCTCTCCCCTCACCAAAACCTTCAATGACGAAGAATCCCGACCCTTCACCATCCCTCATGAATTCATCCAACCTATCGAAATTCCCATATTAGATATTACTAAATCATAATACTAAATACAATCATAAACTATACAATCTAATACAAAACACACCTCATGAATTTGCAGTTGGCACCAAAGATCTAAACACCATAAAAGCAATTCAATTGCTTTGGCCACTGCTGCAAACTAAAAATGTCATACGCATACTAGCTAAATTGCTAACAACATCAGATCTTATTCAAGACATTTTATGTAGATGTTTAGTTTATTCTTTTAGTCTTCACACCATAATCACCTGCAAGATGAAAGAAAACAAAACAAATAAAAACACAAACTGTTGTATTTATAATAATCATTAAAACTTATGCACTGAAAGAAGCAGTAAAATTCATACAAAAGCAGTAAATTACTCTATAAATTAATACTCCAAAGTAGTAAAATACAAATTCTAAGCAGTAAAAATTATAAAATAAGTAAGCAGTACTAACCTTTTCTATCTTTTCATTTACTCGCACAAGGAATTCTATGCACAATCGCTCACTGCTCGCCCAAGAAGAATTGTTTAAAATAATGTTTTTAATTTTTGAGTTTTCACTAACAATAACTCACACAAGCGATAACAAGTTTCCAACTTTTCTTTAACCCGGTTGGAAAGGAATTATATATTAACCTAAACTGACCAACGCACCATAAACTAACACCATGACTAAGAAAAGAAAACCTACGGTACCCAAACCGGATTACACCAGCTTAAAACTGGATACGTACGGATCCAAAGTACAAGGCATTCCCTCCAAATACGATCTTTCCGCCATTCCCAGACGAGAGTAAACACAGACAGTTCTCTACTAAGACAGAACAACCTGACATAGCAAACCTTTTGGAAATCGGATTGATTTCATTGGGGATCACAGTCGTTGTCGAATGACAAGATAACAACTTCATATCCATGAATCCAGCATCATGGGCCGTTCTTCTCCAAGAGGAACTATGTCGACGACTCCAGCTTCCTGGAGCTCTCTTCTCCAATGAACAAGAATAAGAAAATGATGTTCGCCAAATACCAACGATCATCATCCATTCTTCAATTACAGAAAGAAAGATAAAACTAAAAAGTTCTGTAAACCCCGTATGGGTGGAACCTGATCTAAACTATATTTTATTATTGGTTATAAATTGGATATTTTATCACTATAAAATATTTAATATTAACCAATCATGATCCATCTAACTAACAAACCACTTATTTGTAAGTGCTGAAATTACTTGTAGTTTCAGCACCAGAGAGATTTGAATTTAACTTAGAAATTAGTTACCTCTCCAAGAGAACTTTAGCAATCGCAATAAGCCAGTATACTTTAGATCTATTGAGCCTAGCAGAGACTAAATAAACACCCTGAGACTAGTAGATATAAGAGTAAGATTAGGATCGGTATTAGACTAAGAAGTTGCACGAATCTATCCGGCCGAAAATAAGATAGCGTGACGAGCAGACGGTGTACCCTATCCGAAATTACTCAATGAGCTAAGCAATCGGACTTAACTCATTATAATCAATTGTTTTTCACAAAAGTTTGTTTACTCAGCTTGTTGCACTTGTTCTGCAAATAATGACGAACTTATGTTCATGTTCGGGGATACTAGCATGAGGGGGGGGGGGACTGGTGAGATGGAACTGGGTGGAAGGGGGGCTAAACTGAGGATGGGGGTTTAGAAGAAGTGGCAGAGTTTAGATTGCTTCACCCCCCATCGTTCAACCATTCCCTATCCTTCAACTATAGAATAGCCGCCAGTTCATTCATTGAACTCCTCTTACTTCAATAAGGTAGGGGGTAGTGGGCGAATGGCGATGGTAAAAATGGTGGAAGGGTGATTTCTTACCATAGCGATGGTAGCGATGGTATAAAACAATTAATATAAATATTGTTAAACTGCCGAAAAAACTGCCATTATTTTTAATTTGATATGAAAAAAAAAGTTTAAGAAAAGTACGTGGCAACAACTGCACTTAGCAGGAAATGAATAACTTTAGGAGTTTAAGCAATTTCACTGGACAACCTCTGAAAAAAAATCCATTATAACTGGCTCAAATCATTTAGATTTGATTATGTTAAAACAAATTATTTTGGGATTATAACAACTTTTTAATAGATTATAATCATATAGTTGAAAGTTATTAAGACTGACAAAAAATACAATAAAATCAATTATTATCCAAAAAAACTCCAGTGCCGGTAAATTGCTCGGCTTGAGTTTGCTTTATTATTTACCCGTAGCAAACTGTTCTGCACTACAGAATCGTTCCAAAAAGAATTGAGGCAAGCTGATTGGTCTCATTCCGATTTGTGAAGAAAACAATACGAAATATTTGTGCTCGGAGTGTTTTTTGTTTCTCCAGACAAGTTTTGGCATTTTAAGTAGCCATTTTTAAAGAGTTTCAATCCATGTAACAATGGATCAATAATTTGGAGTGACGTTTGAAGTCTGCAAACAACAATTTTTTTTGCGTAAACTATTTTGTTATTGTTCCAACTTTCGTACCTACAAACAGCAAAAAATGCGCGTACTCAGTGCATAATTTAGCCTTTTAATATTCGAAATATTTTCTCGATTATGGCAATAAATGGAATGAATAAAGTCAAAAGATGATGAAAATCTTGAAGAGATGGATTAATCGGTCGAAGTAAATTCACAGCTGAAATCATACGATGGCATGTTGTGAAAGCGGCTGAAAGCAGTTGAAAATGGTTATATCACTTTTTCCTGGGACTCATTTATGTTTTTATCTTTTGAATCTTAAGCTTGTATGAAAAGATTTCGATGTGATTTTACAATTGTTCCTTAGAGAATTAGGAGGCTTTTCAAAAACAAGTGAATTTCTCTGGGCATTTCAGTTTTGTCAGAGATTGTATAATTCTCATACATTTTACTCTTTCACAAAACTCCCTCAACTTCTTAACAAGCTCCTTGACGAAAAAAAAAAGTTTTCGATGTCCACATAAGTTTTTTTTTAAAATCACGAAAAACTGCTTGATCTAATGCACTAAAACATAGCTCGGGCAGGCTGTTTTTCTTCTGACGAAAAACAATTTTTTAATCAGCCAATTTTTACGGAGTTTTTGTATCATTCAAAAGGTATTGTTGGCGTGAGTTTAAGTTTTTAAAAAAAAAAACTTTTCACTTGTGACTTTTTTTGTAAAATTATGGGCATTCAGAGATTGCCAATTTGCCCAACTTGGGACAATTAATGCGTGCCATATTTCTTGCTATTAACGCTGTAGCGGAGATTTAATCCGTCTTAGAAGCCGTTCCAAATTAGATTGAGGCATGCTCTTTGATCTATTTAATACTTTACTATTTGCGAAATACATATATATATATATATATATATATATATATATATATATATATATATATATATATATATTTAGTTTAACATAGCTTGTGGGGGGATAAGTTCCAGAAAAACACCAAAAATAAATTTTGAAAGTTTTCCGTTTTTTTTTAAAATTTCATCGACTTTTTTTTACTTCAAATTACTCCAAAGAAAAAGAAAAGCAGTCGTCGGAATATCTGAAGGTGTGTTTTAGTTTTTTTTCGCTTAAATTCAAGTACCACAAATAATTGCTGGATAGGATTGAGTAATATATCAAATTGAAGCCCTTTCATTCGTGATTTGAACCATTTTTTAAAATTTTCAAAATTTTTCCCCAGTTTCAAGAAAAACCGGTTGGAAATTTTTGATTTCTTGTCTTAATTCGAGCAAATAAAGCCAGCGAGCAGGCTTACAAAAGCTGAAATACGCCTAATTTAAGACCTTAAAACTTAATTTTGAGCAATTAAACTAATTTTTGGAGTTTGTTAGCTTCATTTTTCTAACCAAAAGCAACTGCAAAAATTTTGTAAAAAATATATATTTGTTTGTTTTTTTGGTAATTTTTCTTCAAAAAAAAACTTTTTGTTCAATTTGCCTTTTTCCTATGACTGTCTAATATGCCTAATTTAATTTCTCACCACCATTCTTTTGTTCTTGTTCTTAATAAAATGGCTGTTTAATTATTGCCACTTCAATTAATTGAGACAACTAATGTGCGATTTCGTTTTATTCACGCGTGAGCGGCGATTTAGTTTGGCGCAAAAATTTTTCCAGCTGATTTGAGGAAAGCTAATTGGAACTATTATTACGTTGCTTGACGTTTTATACATCAGTTTTTAGTTTTCATAGCGGTTTTTCGGACAAAAAATTTAGTTTGAATTTTTTTTTGTTTTTTCCGATTTTTGTTAAATTAAAAAATTCTTAAGAATTATCTTATTACTGAACTTTAAAGGGCAATAGAAACCACCAGGTTTCAATATCAACAGATTTCAGATTTTTGTTTTGATCCCCTGCCAACACAAAGGCTCCTTTTGTACTATTTTGTGATATCCATTTTTGACTGACGACGGACCCAAAAACAAATTTTCTAAAGGCGTCGTTGGCGCCAATTTTTACTAATTTTAAGGGGTAGAGTGCGCCGAAGAAACGCAATTTTTGGCCTTTTTTCTGGAAAAAACAGATTGTTTGGCCTTTTTTCAAAATTTTACCTGCGGCGCAAACGTTTTGGCTAACGCATGTTCTTCTTAGTGCTCTGGGAGAAATTGGAAAAAAATTTTGATCGACCTAGGGAAAAACTCGACAAAACTTTAAATTTTTTTGAAAATCATTCCCCTCCCACCCTCGAAAAAATCCTACATCGTCCTCTGGTTAAGACCGCCTTTTAACTCATCATTTCCAAATACATATCAATTTTTTTACATTAGCAGTTAAGTAATATCTTTGAAAAAATAAAATAAGAATTTAATTTTTCGGAAAAGAATTTGAGCTTTGCTTACCTTTACCTTGTATCCGAACAAAATGTATAAAAAGAAAAAAACGAGTTAAGAAAAACTAAATTATAATTTTATAGATTGCGCAAAATTTTACTATTAGCCCAACCTTTTTACAAATTGCCTGAATTTATCGGCTACTTTGTTTATAATTGAAAAAAAATTCCGCTTAAAAATGAGTTTCTGACTGTCAATTGTTGAGTTCGGTTGGGTGAACTAATCTTTCCCACTATCGGCAGCAAGCAGTAGTTTCGTCCTATCTTCATCACACAATGAAGTTCAAAAGAAACCATCTCTTTTTTGGCGAGAGGTTGAACATTTAAATTTTTAACAAGTAGATAGAACTCGAAATGTGGAAATTTGTCTCCATTTTGTGTTTTTTGGAGTCATACATACTTTTAAAAGTCCATTAGCAGTGACTGATAATTATAACTTATAACTTTTGATAACACAAAAACTGATTTAACTTTCAACTTATCTTGCGAAAGTTATTTTAAAATTTTCTGTAAGTAGATGATAATTTTAAACTTCCGCATTTGCGAAAGACTCACAGTCTAATGATATATGTAAGCATTGATAACTCAGAATCCAAGTTGGTTTGAACTGAGACGACACACTGGAGACAGAATTTGCGCACGGGCTCCTTTAGTTTTGAACTCAAAAATTTTGCCCCAACCACTTGGTTTCCCCCAAACGGAAAGCGCAGATCGAATGTTTTGCTAGTGTCCTAGCTCATAATGACCATAATTTGCAAAAAAAAATAGTTCTAATTTGAACTTGTGCATCCAGATCATTATGTTTTAAGCGAATGAAATCAATCAGTCAAATTTTGTCAATAACAGCTGCAAATGACTATTGTAACTATATTGACAGAATCGCTTAAGCAAAAGGAAGGAATGAGCGGAAAGACTTCAGTTTGATCGATTGAACCCGAACCAAAACAAGTTCGAAATTGAAAGCAGGTTTTGAGAGTACATTTGAACCAATTTTAATCCCAATTAATGTTTAATGCGGAAGACCTCAAAGTCTATTTAGGCGAAGGCTCAGTGGCGGATTTGGGAGCGAGGGGCGAAGGAAGGGTGGAAGGGGGTATTTTGATGTACCTGGCCACCCAAAGGGTTTCCCCTTTGGTACTATTCATCTTCGGCCGAGCCTAAAATTTTTCGCCCTCCCTTTCGTATCTTCTCTTACTAATCTCCCTTCCTTTCTAATTGCCGCTGCTATAATTGAATTAGTACTAGAGCGTTGCATTAAAAATTTGCTTTTTGGCAACAATTTGATTGGTAGAAATTTCGACATTTAATCTACCTGACAATTGCCCCCACCCCGTTTTTAATTTTCTGTCTTCTTCATGTTTTTTTTTGGTTTCCCACAATTTTATCTATAACAACTGCAAAATACTTCTGCGATGCGAAACGCAAAATGAGACTGAACAAAAAGGACATCAAGTTGCAAGAATTGTCTACTGAGATGAGAACTTCCTTGATTTCCCGGCATTACGTCGCCAATCCGTGTTATTTCAATGCGTTTTAATATGGTATCGGATTCCATGGTTTTTGTCATGGATTCCGGGATTGGCCACAAAATCGGTGGTTTTAGCTGTCCCGGAATCCATGACAAAAGCTGGTCACATACAAACTGGTTTGAATTAGGAATCCACGGAATCAAAAATTATCAAAGAAAATGCGTGTGTTCCGGAATCCGGGACACACAATTTCTAGCCTTTTGGCACCGATTCCGCAAAAACCAAATAACACGGATTGGCGACGTAATGGGGTTGAGATGTTCCACTTGTTTTGACCGATTCGACCAGAAAGAGTTATGTTTCGACGGACTCGACTTAAACTGGCTATGTTTCGGCTATATATTTTTCAGATTCGGAATAATTTCAAAATGTGATATGATGATGTTTTTCACCACCAAATAGTATTATAATAAGAAGGTGAAAAATTTTCTGACCTGGCCTTAACTTATTTTTTGACTATTTTATCACGTTTTTTATTTTGAATGTGTCAAAAATCAGAAAAAAATTTAGTTCATCTTTTTAGTTCAATTTCAAACTTTCAAACATTTTAGTTGCTTTTTTGGCAAAACATTGCCTCTCGGATGACAAATATCAATCATGGGCAGCACATTTTTTGATTTCGACTAATTTTCGAGACTGTATTCGACCAAGTTTCGACCGCACTTTGTGTTCGACTTTTTGTTCGACTATGTATGATACAACCACACCTTGTGTTCCACTTTGTTCTCGACTATTGTTCGGCCACACTTTGATTTAGAATTTGTGTTCAACCCTGAATTGCAATAGTGCTTGAACATTTTTCGACTATGTTTAGAAATTGTGTCCGACAGATAAAGGGCTGTTTTCAACAACCGATTAAGGGTCCAACAACATCTGGGTGTTCGACCAAATTCGATCGAAGCAGAAATCGAACACCTCAACCCAGGTTTTTGAGATAAGATTTTGTAACTTTTGAGAGTTTTCGAAACAAAAAAATTCAAACGAGACAAAAAACACTTTTTCCACTGCTTTTCTCTCATAACTATGCTCAAGACACAACCCATGAAGGTGAATTCTCTGATTAAACCAAGCAGAACTTTTTACAAACTAGTATTCTTTGAGTTGTTTTCGCCGGCTTAAGAACTAAGAACCGGTCTGGTCCAACTCAGCCGGCAATTCATCGCGAGCGACATTTCGTAGCATTTGTAAAAAGCCACTAATCAAAACACAAGACAACTTGTAGAAGGCAACAATTAGTAAATCTAAAACATTTGATCAGATTTCAAAAAAAAATAGATGAAAGGGTTTAGTTAAAGAACAGAACTGAAATTGAGCGATACATCTTCAGGTTGCTTCAGATGCTACTTGTTGCTTAATGTTTTAGGAATTCAATTTATAAAGATAAAAGGTTTTCTCACATTGCTGTTTTGGTAGCATTTTTTCACCAATTTTTGTGGTTTGTTCTCCGATTAGTTTGTTCTCCGACATGCTTTGCTTTTTCTAAGCATTTAAAGGAAATTATGAAGGATCGCGTGAGCGCACCCATTGCCACCTTGAACGCCTTGTGTCGTCTTTTAATCGAACTGTTGGACTTCTTTTTTTATTTTTGCTTTTTTGTTCTCATTCCACATTGAAATGGGGAAATGACCAAGACGCCTGCGTCCTCGAATGTTGGTTCCAGCTCAAACTGATTTGTAATAACCGACACTGATTTGTAAAATCCGATAGAGATGACTCATCGCTTCTATTGAAAATTTCACTGCATAAAGCCGCTGCACTAATTTTGTAATCGAACTCAGGTATTAGTGCACATAAATTATTTTAGGAGCATCATTAGTGCCAATCTCGTTAAACTGGTGCCGATTCAATCTCTTGAGTTTAACGCCTAATGGTTTGAGCAAAATGGAAGAAACTTTTTTCTACACTGACTAAATTGAAGACCCTCTGAAAAATGTTTTTCAAAGCTTTCTCAAAGTCTACCTTAAACTGGACTTAGAAAAAAATCTTAGAAAAAAATTAGTTTTTGTATTGATGGAAAAGATATCATCTGTTTCTTTTTTATTTGGTTTCTAATTGAAACTTCTGGCAAACAATAGAACTTATTTGAATTTAGAGGAGCTCAATGAAAATTTAATTTTTTTTACATTTTTTTGTTCTGCGATGCTTCTGTTCGCTTTTTTCCCACTTAACTCAAAATTTTGATTTTCATTTGGAGCGTATTTTCGTTTTTGTTGATGTTTGTCACAATTTTCCTCTATAATTGGCATAAGCACAAAATCCATTTTTTCCAAAAAAAAAAGATGTTTTTAATGGAGGGTGTGGATATTCTGGGGTTGAGAATATCATGGTATCCCGCAGTTTTTGATCCTTCAAAATCCGTTAAAATTTGTTGTGTATCTTAGTCTGGAAACTGCAGAACAATCCGACAATTTTTCAATTTTTTCTGCAGATCTTAATAATCACCAGAAAAGCTTTTTAGCTCATATCACATCGAGTTTTTTAGGCGGCTAAATTGTGGCAAAAAGTTCATGTGCCGTAATTATTTTAGTTTCGTTCACTCCGTGACAAATTCCACACAAAAACTCAAATAAAGTCATCTTATTGGTATTTTATTTGACTATACTGCCCAAAATTTAACATTACTTAATGTTTGATATCGACAATACAAATTTATCAAACTTTTGTCAAAATTTTATCAAAATTTTTTTAACATTTTTTTAATTTGAGACCAGTTAAAAGACACTCGGAACATTCACGCGTTTGCCCTGATATGTGAGCAGACTTGCTATGCAAAAAATGGCTGAAAATTTTTTTTGTATATTTTGCAAAATTTATAACAGAAAAGTGGGTTCAATTCTCTATTCAGAAAAGCAGTGCGTGTAATTGTTGGAGGTATTACTCCAATGAGTGTGTTACTTAAAATAGCTTAGTCGTCCTCAATCATTTTATAAAGATCACTGTATGTGATAGCAATCAGCAACACAGTCAATTTCTAGTACTTCTATTTGTCCTATAAAAACAAAGAACTTTTTTATTTTTAAAGGAAAAATGAAATAATGACATCATAAGCGGATGGTGTGATCAATTTTCAGACTCAAATTTACGGTTTCAAAGCACAGCAAAATATTTGAAGGACTTTATGTTTTATTTTCAAAGTAAAGTCAATTTTTATAATGGCTGTATCTGTTCTAAAAACTATTATGAGGAAGTCCCCCAAAGGTACCTTTGCTTTTTTCTATCATATGATTTGGTTATTACAAATCTTTCAGAAAAAGTAAAAAGAAAGCAGACAATACAGCTTGCTTTGATTCCTAATTGGAAACATTCTTATTTGTTCAATTTTTAACTTCAACTTGGAAATCAACTGTTTAGCGATTTCAATCAATGACAATGTGATCAATTTCAATTGATCTAAAATGAATCCAACTCCAATTTTTCCATCTGAATAACTTTTCGCTTCTAACACTTAATGCATTTTTTTAGTTGACGTAAGTTTTTAAGGTAACCGTTATGTTTTTATCAGCTCTGTTTATTTTAAATCAGCGCCTTATTATTCAGAGGCCAAATTGAGTTTTTTTGAAGTGTAAGCGGATTCCGCAACAAATACGCTACCCGCACCGGAGTTCCATGGTGGAACCTGATCTAAACTACATTTTATGATTGGATAAATTAGATATTTTACCAATGTAAAGTATTTAATAT